GCAACGGGCGAAAATAAATGTGATTGCGAACTGACATCTCAGGTCTAGAAATAGTGCGTTTCTTACGCTCTAGCATAGACTCTTGATTTGTGAAGCGTGTCACAAGCTTTTTTGTGGAATTAAAACCACTAATGTGTTCGACCTCAAAATTTCGGTCGCCACAAGCCTGGGGTGTGGGGCGTTCTGCACTAAATCCCTGATGGCGTTCGCTTGCTGTTACACACCTCGATTGTTGAAGAACCGTGTGCGACCACAGTGCTCAGCTCCCGGATCAAACCATCATCTGAACAACCTGTTCTTACCCCCAAAAGCGCCACAGTCTGCATGGAGCATAGGGAAGGTTTAGCATTTAATTGTGGTAAGTATGCTACGCAGAACAGACATTTGGCAGTTTACACTCCTTTGAACGGACACCATTCTCAAGCAAGACGTTGAGTAGCTTAAAATAGTGCCAGCTTATTGTCGGACATGGTTCGTAGCCTCACGGATCACAAGCCTGCCTTGTAATCTGAGGTCGCGGGTTCCAGGCTGCGCAAGGACCAGGCGACTCTCTCAGTATCCGTTGGTGGTGTCGCGGCAGAGAGGCGTCCATACTGCGTACCGTCTTACTCCTAATGCCTTTCTTTTCTTTCTCTCTCGGTTAGAGTCGGAATATATGTCGTTCTGCTCTTCGAGTTTGCCCAATGCTATGGGATCATCCGGATACGAAAACCTGGAATGTGGATGCCTATCGGCTAACCTAGTGACGTCGTCAACACGAACGTCCATATAGATCCAAGCGACGTTCCTACTACTGAGTGATACATATGAAATCCCTTTTCGCTTCCTATATTTTTCTACCCAGTTTCGTAAAACTGGGATTGATATCACTCATTGTGATCGATCTAATGTTTATGTTAGAGGTAATGTTAGAACCAACACAAAATAAGCCTTATTTACCACGATGGGTGCACTTTTAGCATTTTGCATTATCCACTTCATTGAAAATGCGTAATTTTACGACACGAAAAACCAATTAGGTAAAGGGTGCATGGATGTCTCTGGATGAAACGGTCCCACATCCATGAGCAGCTACCTCGCACTACTAGAGAGGTTCATCGGGATTCGCACCACATAATCTTCCCATATAATTGGCCTCAATTCACAAATTATGCACGGTATCTGGCCGCTTTTCTCAATTTCGACGGTGTAAGAAGGTCCAATCGACCTTGAAAATGGTTTAATTTGTGTTGTGTAACTACTCCCACATAGTAAATAGCATAAAAATGAAGTCATAGGGAAAACGGTAACTTTTGACTTAAATTCCTTGCATTTAAGCGATTTGGGATACGAAACCCAGACTAATAGCCCCTTTTTCCACCATTTTTGTGTTCCCTGTAAACATCGGTATGAAAACCAGTCATATTACCTGAGCAAATTAAAATGGACATGCGGAATTTACCAGGCAATGCGGATTTGAACTTAATATTTCTTGAAGAGGCCTCAGTGTTACTCATCCCAACACGGACGCCCCATGACCGGTTTCTTTCTCTTTTAGGCTCATCAGATGGAGATAGTCTGAGCTGCGGTGAAACTCGGGGCCTAGTTTTAAAGGCTTGCGCCTTAATCACTAGGCCACAGAGATCATCGGCACTCGGTTTGTTCATTTTCCAAGTATCACACCAGCAGCGTACATTTCCACGAAATATCTACCCCATTGAGAACGATACTTGAGTCTTCATGTAGCAGCTTCGACGTCCCAATTGTTATCGCTTTAACTTTGATTATTGAACTTAGGCTTTTGACTCGGTTAGCCGTTTTGTATTTCTGAACCTGTTCTCTTCGTAGTTATCTAAGTTACGGTGAAACATTCTGCCTATCCCTGAGAAATCCGTTTCGACAGGTCGAAGTAAAAGTGATTACAGCTTGTCGCACTGATTGCTCAGATAATCGTCTACAAAAACCGAATACGATTGAAGCGTGTGTCAATGCTAGCCACTGCTATTGCTTTTTGGCCAATTTCATCGGCTAAACAGTTTTTCGATTTATACGATATTCGTGGGTTTTACTTCATTCATTAAATCATAAGTTTATGTTGCCGTGATCTAGCTTGTTGACGGGAACCAGTGTATCTGTGAAAAATAGAGAACTTTTGCATGTGATAATATAATTCTCCTCTACATCAAGTCTGCCTTAGGTTGTTAGATTAGTCAAGCTAAATATCTCAGTTCATAGTTTGCCATCTGTATTGAAATCGATAGTAGAGGCCCGGACATATCTTTCTAGTTTCAACCGAAGCGCTAAGAACCGGTGCTCTTCAAAGTTGACTACTCCAATCACCATGTCTCAGGTTCTACACGAACTTCGCCGGATAGAAACCGACTCCGAATTAACTGCTAATGTCCACTCTAATGATAGTAGATTGCTATAGTTGCTTATGAGAAGTTCAGTTTTTCCGGATTTGGGACAACGGCACCATAGACCACGACAACTCTCCCACGATTCCAGTGCTTACTTCGACTATCTTTGTAAAACTGCAAGTGTGCTCTCCTAGCTTTGCCGTCCTACTCGAATTCGGTGACATCGTATTATTGGACTTCGATGTTTGTACTTCTATGTGCATTTTCACTTCACGAGAATAGTGAACCTTGTGAGCAAACCAGCTATTTCTTTTTTCTTGTGTGAGTTCACTCCTCTCCATCAGCGCTACCGATGGGGCTTTCCTCATCTACAGATAATTTGCGCACTTGCCTCATTGCATGCCAACACGTTACTGAATTAGTCCAGACTTTTCTTCTCTGTCTTAGTTCTGTTTTGCCGCGTACAGGTGGCTATTCGAGGGCTCCAGTTTATTTGTTTTTCGCCTCTCTCCCCATGCCGCCCCATTTTGGGTACTTTGCTACGCGCGCTTGTTCAATTGTCTTCATCTGATGTTATCAAAGTTTCTAGGCATATCAATTCTCCTTTGCGGGTCTACTACAAGTAAGACTGGAAATTTAGCCACCGGTGCATAAGTCCCTCAAAAGTCCGTTCTTACAGGACTGTTTATTGCACCTATTGCTTTATCTCTCACTGGTGTCCTTATCCTCATTGTTTGACTTTCATAAAACAATCTCGGTCTGGGAAGTCGGCCGGTGGCCGAGTGGTCTGCACGTTTGCTTTGCAACCATAAGGTCACCGGTTCGAATCCGCGTAGGGGTGGGCGTCCTCGCGGTATACTCAGCCCGCGAGCGACTGGCGGCGGTCGCGCGGCAGCGAAGCGCCGTTACGGCGTACAGCTGACACATTCATTCATTCAAGTCACCAACACAGTAAGAAAACTGGTTTTTTCTTTGTCCGATTCTGCCGTCCACGAAGCGCTCGCGTTCGTCCATTAACGGCGCGGCATGTTTACAATCGATGTGAAATGGTTTCGGTGTGGTTGCCTCACAACACTGCATTCCGGTTTCAATCACGTCCGGTATCTTCGGGCAAAGATGGTTGCCCGATTTGGGCTAGTTGCACCCTTGACGTATTGCTTGATGGCGGAATGCTTGATCACTAGACCACTGAGCTGCATAGCAGCTCCTGACAAGTAGGTTGAAAGTCGCACTTTTTATTTTCAACTACCTGCCGTATGTTTAAATGACGAAAAGCAATAATGATTGCTAACGGATCAGTATAGTTCGGTTAAACAACTGAAATCCGGGCACCGTAATGCGCTGGATCCAGTTGCCACGACTCACATCGCAAGAGTAAAAATAAATAGCAACCTCAAGGTACTGGGTTTAAGTCGGTCGGCGGCCGAGAGGTCTGCAACGCTGGCTTGCAATCATAAGGTCACCAGTTCGAATCCGCGTAGAGACGCTCGTCCTCGCGGTATACTCAGCCCACACGCGAATGGAGATAGTCGTGCGGCAGCAAAGAGCTGTTACAGCGTACAGCTGACACATTATTTATTATTTAGTGGAGTTGAATGCAAATACAATGTGAAAACAATGGAATCAAGAGGGAGATGTGTTAAATTAATCAGAATGAGACAAAAACTAACGACGGGATGCAGGAATGCCACTGTGTGCGTGACTGCGTCACGTCTGATATAGTCTTCAACCATTGGTGTATACCATTCCGAGGTCCCCCACTCACGAAGACGGCAGGCACCAGCCTAACCAAGTCTCTCAGTCAGTTTCTTCAAGCTTTTATGCCACATCTTCGACTGATCACCTCGTGGTTTCGCCGAGGAAGCCGGTCAACGGCCATACGAAGGGCATGGCTTAGCCAGCGTAAGCGATTTACATTCAGCAAACACTCGAATGAGGCACCAGAAGGCTTCTTGTCCAAAATCAACTGGTGGACCTCAGCGTTGCTCACCCGGTGTTCCCACCAGACGTGAACAGTACTACGGATCTCAGTGTCCTGTTGATCAAGGCGTCGGTTTCACCCCTAGCTCAGGCTATCTCTACCCGATAAGCCCAAACGAGGATGAACCCGGTCTTGGAGTGCAAGGTAGAGAGGGAGTAACACCCCGATGTGGTCCATACCGGATTTGGTTCTGCTTCAATGTAAACCATTTTCCCAATAGTGGTGGCGTGATGCATATCAAACACTCGGTTTTCACTCCATAACCCAGCAACGCACATGCCATGCACTTGTCAACTTCCCCAATAAAATCTTAACAGGCGCGTTCACATTTTGTTTATTTGCTGATTTCGCTGATTGCGGTTATTTGTATGCCTTGTTTTGCTGGTACCATACTTACTTTAGTTGTTTTCATCTAGATCGTCTATCCCGAACGATTAGATGTACATGAGTCCTTATGATCATAACCTATCGTTATTCCGCGGTTATGGAATTTCTCCGCTTCGCTTATCTTTTGCCCAAAAGGATCCGCCACCACAACGTTTCTGTTAAGACCAGATTGTCATCACACTCGTTCTTGACTTGGTTAGCTACTTTAAGCATTCCTCAAGTGTACGTTGCTGTCTGGCGCTGCCTCCTTCAAATTTATTCACCTCCGTCACTGTTTGTTTGCACATCTCCAGCTGCGACCACGTCCACCGCATCTGTTTGCCAACCGACCGTTCTCCAATGCTTCCTATGTTCCCCGACTACCTGACCCCTTGGTTGATGCTTCCAAAAAGCACACGAAATACAATCGTTCTTCACTAGAGCTGGACACTGTGTTCGCCTGCTTGATCGAGCTGCGTTCCACACCTCCAATGGATCCGGGTTCGATCACATTTCCGGACACTCACGGAATCAGTACGGGTACCATCTACCCTCTACCGGTGCACAAAGGTCAGGTGAGTTTTTCGTTCGAAGTGAGATGACTTCCTCAATGCAAACTAAACAACTTAATGCTTAGTATCATCTTATGCATCGGTATGAGATTGTTGTTGCAGTGTTGAGAGAAGCGGGAGGGGAAGGACTAAGAAACTCGCAACACAAGCGCCATTGAGGTCGACCCTTTACCAAATTAACAATTATATCTAACCAAGGATGTTCGTCGTCTTTAGGGACCAAAGCCCGACACTCAGGACACCCAACGCCAACTTCAAAGTGAGGGACTTCATTCTTCTTGACCAAGTGATCGCTTGGCCTCTCCTCGTTTTCTCCAACCCAGACATCGGGCGCGCAAACAACGCACGATGCGGGGGCCCGTGTGCTGGCATGCGCAGCACAGCCCAGTCGTCGGAGACTTTTGTAGTAGGTAATTGTACTAAGCGGTTCACGCGCTGTTCCTGCACCAAATAGACCACGCCGAACGCGCTAGCTGCTCACGCGCTGTTCCCACCAGGCATGAGCTAAACTGCGATAGTCGAACGTAACAACCCCCTTCGTCTTGGTCAGCTTGATGTGCCTGCTTTCACAACAGTACAGGAACGTCGCACGGACGGCTTCATTGTAGACTCTTCTCTTCAGCGCGAGAGGGTTGTTGCGCCGGCGCCACGAATGGCGAGCTTTTGCACAAGCGTCCCGAGCTTTGTCCATACACCTCATGACCTAATCTCCTATCCACGGGCGGAAATATAACACTGAATACTTGAATTTTCGAACGACTTCTAGCTGGTCGCCCTTAAGCATGAGATCACCCCTCGTCAGTCGTGCTACTAATACTAGGACTTAAATCAGCATTTCCATTTGTCTGGTTTTTTTACAGCCTATTCTTCAAATTTTCTATCCTTCTGCGCCCCCAACCTTTCTCTTGTTTTCGCTCACTGTTGGATCAGTTTATATTTCGCCACACTTCGAAAATCTCTCGTTTACTGGACAAGTTAAACATTTCAATTCTTCAAATGTCCAATTTTTTCGCATCTACCTGTCACGTGTGATCAATGTGCATCGGAACCGGTTACAGTTTCACGCATTGACACCTCCATTCTGTAGGTGTACTTTACATCTTCGTTGTCTTACAGCCAGTTAGCTGTCAGCAGTGTCCCTATCTAGGACGTATGAGGACAAACTTGTCACGGTTGTGCGATCGTCTTCTCTCTCTCTCTCTGTGTGTGTGCGTGTGTGATGATCCACCATTTAGTGGTTCATTGTACTTGTTCACTCACGTTTAGTGCTTTTTTGGAACCAGGCAGTAAAAACAAACTTTCACCCAAAACCCCTGTTGCTGCTGCTGCTGCTTCTGTCGCTTAAAAGCATGAAAAGTTGGCCTAATGACTTGGTCACGCTGGTGTGTGCTTCAGCATGGTATACATCTCCGGTGGATCACCCTAATAGACGTGGTATAGCCGCCGGGCCTGTGGCGCTTCTGCTTTTTGCAAGTGGCCGTCCATATTTTATTCGAATAGTCTTCCACGCAATTTTACCTGCCCTGCTCTGTGGTCTAATTCACTTTTCTCTCTACGGTGACATGTTGCTGTAACGAAAGCCATCAGTTCAATGAATTGTTCGAATTATCGAAATATTTTAAGGCATCCTTCCTTTTTTCTTCTTTAATGTGTCTGAAAGTGTTTGAAAGAAAATCGTAGTTTTATTCAAATAGTAACACCACTTTGCGTACCCATAAAATAAAGCCTCCGATATGCTGAGAAATTACAGAAATGGTAAACAAATGTTTTCCTTTGATGTAGAATCACTTTTCACAAATGTCCCACTGTTTGAAACTGTTAATTTCATCTGTGAGTATATAACGGAAAGGAACCTAAACGTTGGCATTCCGGTGCCCAAGCTCAAGGAGTTAATCTTGCGGTGTACCTTTAATAGACAGTTCCTGTTTGACGGAATCTCTTACAGGCAAATCGATGGCGTGGCTATGGGGTCCCCCCTTGGACCTCTTCTTGCCGACATCTTTCTCGCTAAGCTTGAGCGCGGTCCCATCCAAAGGCTTATTGCCTCATTTGATTCTTATTGGAGGTATATGGATGACACTTTCATCATCTGTGATTCGCACATTGATGTCAACCATTTGCTCGACCAGTTCAACAGTGCACACCCCTTAATAAAATTCACTAGTGAAATGGAGAATGAAGGTAAGCTGGCTTTTCTGGACGTTCTGTTGAGGAGGCGCGAGGACGGATCACTTGAGCGTAGAGTCTTCCGCAAAGCTACGTGGGTAGGACAGTACACACACTTTTCGAGCTTTGTCCCTCTGAGGTACAAACGCAACTTAGTACGTTGCTTGAATTACCGGGCCACCAAAATTTGTAGCCCCGAAACTCTCGAAGATGAGAAGGACCGAGTTGTGAAAACACTTCTTGCGAATGGATACCCAGAGCCTTTCATCTAAAAGCATGCCATGACCCGTGAGCGGGATAAGCCCGTAGCAACGGTTCCGAAGAAGGATGTGTTTCTCACTGTTCCTTTTAAGGGAGATATCGCCTTCGATCTCCTGAACAGAAGACTTTCTAATGCCGTAGCAAGAACCTACCCGGCCGCCCAACCGCATGTAGTTGCAGAGACCGCTCCCTTCATAGCTCAACGCCTTAAAGACAGACTGCCAGTGTCGTCCGAATCGTACATTGTTTACCAGTTTACTTGCACCTGTGGTGCAAAGTACCTCGGGCATACGACCAGGCGTCTGTCGGTACGAATGGCTGAACATTGTCCAGGGTCATTGCGGAGAGGCATGCACAGAAGTATCAACAGCTCAATTATGGAGCATCTGATTCTTAGTGGGCATCAGATTCTGACAAAAGATGCTTTCAAAATCTACTGTGCCGTACCGAGGCGATACCCGAAAGGGCTAAGGAAACGCCTCCTGCAGACAGCTGAAGCCATCGCGATCAGGCTAACGCAACCAGAGCTATGCAAGCATAGGGTGCTCGTGCAACCCTCGACTTTGCCATGGCCCTGATGATACGGTTCCCCGCAGTATCTCGCTTAACCGGGTGCTATTCATTTGCGTAATTAACTAATTTTATTTGGTTAGTAATTCTGCCCTTTCTGTTTACACAAGTTATTTAGCTGTCGGTTAGCCCGATCACGATGTCACCTGATTAAATCGATTCGAGCATCAAATGAACATACTAAAACTGTTCAAATCGTCCCATCCGTCCTCTTTGTTACTTGCACCAGTTTACTAATGCATTTTACAGTCCTGTAGTTGTATTTGCCTGATGTGAACTGCCGAAAAGAGATCTCTTTGCAACACTGTGTTTTAATCTTCCATGGGCATTATTTATGAACTAAAGAAGTGCAAGGGACCCACCGCATTTAAGAACTTCAATAAATTACAGAAAACCTGTTGCAATTACTGTGTATCATTGCCTCGTCTACTAGTCTTTCTCAGTGTAATTAACTTTCACCATAACGAAATGATTTCTTTAGTCATCGAAATTTCACTTTACTGCGGTTTTTCATTGTACTGTTATGGCTTATTCTACCGTCAACGCAACTGTTAACAGGTGGACGGACTGCGCACCGGTACTCCGATCACAGTTGTTTTACTGAACGTATTTATGGACAGCGCGAAACACAGTCCTCTCAACATTTCTGCACGAACCAAGTTGTTTGTGTGCACTTCGGTACTTCAGTAACAGAAACAAAATTGCTAGTGTTATGTAACCCCCCCCCCCACGTGTCTCACTTTCAACACATCCATTTGTGTGCAGACTACATGTACTGCTTTTTGCCGATGTCGATCGAAGATGATCGTCATATCAGAGACTGTATTTGGCCAAACCAGTTCCGAAACGTTGCGTCTTACTACCGCGTATTTTCTCTTGTTAGAATTATATGTGGAACGCCGCAAGAATCGTCGTCGTCTTTGCACCATGAAACCTGGTCCTCTTGCAACCTTGGGGTAGGCACGCGCCTGCATTTGTGCACTACTCGTCAAGTAGTTTCTTTATGAAACAGATCATCTACGTTTTCGACATTGATGATTTTTGTACACACACAATCTCTCGCAGAATGCCACTTACCAACGATTCAGTAAACACTCGGGGACTTGACTTCGCCGTAAATAGCTGCGCAGCAGACATGGGTCTCTTCTAACCGCATTTTCAACTATTTGGTGTCGTGTTTCATGCTGAACAGTCCCTGGCATTCAGATGCAACTTCCTGCAATGTCAGCTTCGGTTCTTGTTCCCATTCTAGCTAAATGTTCAGCTTTTGGCACAGCAACTCATTTAACTGCCGCTGCGATTTTTCAAACCCTCTTGCTGTTGCCTGAATGGAGGCACTGTATCTGCTCATAATGGCCATAATTCTTCAACGCATCCTTCTCCAGAAAAAGTGTCCAGCTCCGATGACTGCAGCATGTTCATAATGATGAGGCGCACAACGGAGTGATGGGCGGCGATAATGAAGTCATTCTCAGTGTTCGTCGCCTCTAACCTTGTCCTTTGTGATCTTTATCGCCCATTTTTGTGAAGATTCATCGCAGTTTGACTCAGCCAGACAGGCATTACACATCCAGGAATGCGCTAGACTGCTGTTTCGTCCTATTGGGACTCGTCGGTAGCGCGCATCCGCAGCGTATCTTAGAGCGAAACCCTGCAAGCAGTCGTTGGCGGCTGGAGCCTTAGTCACTGAGCCTTGTGCTCAATATGTCAGTTATGAACTAGTGTTTGTTAGGTACCCTCCTTACTCCCGGCTATTTCTACCTGTAGAATCCAACCTCACACGAAGTCCTCGATCGTGGACTCCTGCAGTGTTCGAAGCGAGCAACATCTAATCTCGCCACTTCAGCTGCGTTTTAGGATCGGAATTGCTCAAATTCTCTTTCAGACGTTGCATGTCGCAATTCAATCAAGTGTATGACACTCTAAATCCTTACAGTCAGGTTGTGCAGGCATCGACTGTGCCACTCACACCCGCTCACCGGTAAACCATATAGATTGGCGTTTGA